ATATATACACACATATATATATACACACATATATATATACACACATATATATATACACACATATATATATACACACATATATATATACACACATATATATATACATAATATATTATATACATTATATATATTTATATATATATATACACATATATATATTATAAATATACATATACATATATACATATACATATATATACATTATATATATACATATATACATATACATATATATACATTATATATATACATATATATATTATATATATATATATATATATATGTACACACACACACACACATATATAAGGGATGGAGCCGATCCGATCCAGTATCGGGCTCCAATACCAGCATAATGTACGTATCGGATTTTCCGATCCAAACTGCCGATATTTCCGATCCATGATGAATGTCTGTGGTTGTGCAGCACTTTGGCTTCAAACTATGGAATGGATTTCCTAAACGGCGGCATGTCTCATGAACCCAGAGTAATAAGACCCGCCTCACATTCAGGAAATCCATTTCATAGTTTGCAGCCAGCTACAACGTGAGGACTGAGTGAGCAGCACTGTGGCTAACAGCTAACCAACTTATCATATAAACATGTCTGCTGTGTGGAAGTATTTTACACTAGAAACACCACAAAACAAGACAGCAACGGGCAATGTCTGCAGAGCCATAGCGCCACAATAAACCTCGGTAAAGTTAGTTTTACGATGGACATTCGAGCTCAGGGGCTTCAGCGGTCTGTTATTTACGTTCAGTCCGGAAAAGGCACTCTGATTTCGGTCAGCCACGCTCAGTCTGTCCGTGTCGGAGGAGGTGCAGACTTGAGCGCAGTTGACCGAGATCAGACTGCTTGCTGCAGATTGAACAAGAAGAAGACATCGCTGAAGCCCCGGAGCTCAAATGTTTACCGAGAAGTTGCTAAACTTCATCATAATTAATGATCAACCACTATCTGTTGTAGAAAACGAAGGATTTCACAGCTTGATACTTGCATCCAAGATATAGTTTACCCTCCAGGAGATATTTATCAGTACAACAGTAAACAATCATAAAAAAACATGATTTGAAAATTATATTAAAAACAAAAACAGCTACATTATAAAGTGATGTAAAATACTAAAAACAGGAACATGTCTATTGGTTTATGCCATGAACTTAGCAGATGTTCAAAGCCATTTAATATTTTATTTTATTTAATTCATTTATTCATTCGTTTAAAAGAAACAAAACAAATTCATCAAAAAGAAAACATTGAATGAAAAGAGTGCAGAAAGAAGAAAAATCTTATATCTGCCCCTTATTTAAAAAATATTAAATAACTTTACTTAAATTAATCACTTTAATATCCACTTTAAAGCTAGGAATAAAAAGAAACATGTTTTGTGTTAGAATTTAATCCTAAATTTATAATTTATCCAAAATTAATAAAACTTACCTCAAGTTGCCTTTTTGGACATGCATGCATATATTTGTACAAATTGTACTTGAGAGGAGATTATTACAGCCTCGTAAAAAATCAATGATGATCATGATATTGGAACTGAATCGGCCGATATTTAGGTATTGGGATCGGATCGGAAGTAAAAAATGTGGATCGGTGCATCCCTAATACATATATACATGTATATAAAAATATATATAAACTACTACTTAATACTACTACAACTACTTGTACTACTATCCCTACTTTGTGGTTTTTCACATATCCGGGGTGTGTGGGGGGCTGAAACCTAACACCCACAATAAACAAAGGACTACTGTATTTCTTTGCAGATGTTCAATTCAATTCAATTCAATTCAATTCAGTTTATTTATATAGCGCCAAAAACAACAAAGTTGTCTCAGGGCACTTTACAGGAACATTCACATAAAAGCCAATTAGTAAAGTTCTCTAAGGAATCCAGCAGACAAGTTGAATCTTGGCTTCGTTGCAGTCTCCCATCCTGAGCAAGCACAGTGGCAACAGTGGAAAGGAAAAACTCCCTTTTAAAAGGAAGAAACCTCCAGCAGAACCAGGCTCGGGACAAGCGGCCATCTGCTTTGACCGGCTGGTTGAGAGAACAGGAAGGAGAGACTGACGAACACAGAATGGTAGGTCCACAAATCATTACATTACAAAAAAAGTGTCTGCAATAAATGGCTTATTACAAGTTACTTAACAAAAATGTACCGACTTATTATTCTAAGACCTGAAACACTGGGATCAAACATCACAAAACATGGCAGGTTCTAAACATGTGTAAACAGTAAAAGTTTAGGCTGATATTTATCAGAGCATGTTAATTTGATGATGCTGCAATGTTCCTACTTTGTAAACTAAATATATGATAGTGGTATAATTTGAATGATCTTTAAGTTTAGCTCTTTAGTTTTAGCCTATAGTAAGCATGACAAAAACATGTCAGGCTAGAGACTTTTGTGGGTCTAATGTTAGCAGAGATGTTTCTTTCAGCAGATGCATGAATACCAAAGATAATTGTAACTAGAGAAATTGCATTTCCTGCAAAAATGCATATTTGAATGCTTATTGCTGAAGACCGTGCTGAAAAACAGATGCAATTAGCTTAAAGCATGCTGAAATGTAGCTGAAACAAGCTTAAGTTAGCAGAAAAAAGCAGAAAAAAAAGTATTTGCCAAATATTGGTTAAAAAGGAAGTGATGTCCACAAAAATGACTAAATTAGCGTAACAACATTAAAATTAGCAGATAAACAGCTGAATATTAGCCAACATAGTAGAAAGAAAAATAAATTAGCATAAGGAAGTGGAGAGATCACAAGTTCACCTAAATAGGCTGAAAGAAGCAGAAATGAGTACAAAAAGTGGATTTAATTTGAAAAAGTACTATTTTGCCCAAAACAGCTGAATAGTAGCTAAAGAAGCATAAAAAGCTTAGATTAGCAGAAGGAAGCAGAAAGAGCAACAAGTTTCCCAATTAAGCTGAAAGAAGAAGAATGAGTGCAAAAAAAATGAAAAAAGCTGAAATTTCACAAAAACAACAGAATAGTAGCTAAAACAAGCCGAAAGAAGCTCGATACTAGAAAGAAGTGGGTAGAGCATGATTTTGCTGAATTAGGCTGAAAAAAGTTGGATTGATTTAAAAAAAAATGTGGAATTGGCTGAAAACCTGAAATTAGCATAAAACAGCTAAATAGTAGCTGAAATAGCAAAAAAAGCTGAAATTAGCAGAAATAAGCACAATAAAGTTGAAATTACCTGAAAAAGGCTGAAATTGAACAAAAACAGCTGGATAGTAGCTAAAATAAGCAGAAAGAAACTTAAATTACCAGAAGGAAGTGGATAGAGCATGATTTTGCTGAATTAGGCTGAAAAAAGTTGGACTGATGTAAAAAAAAAAAAGTACAATTAGCTCATTAGCAGGACTTGGATTCTGGACACGCCTCCAGAATCTGTCCTAAAGTGCAGGTGCAAATCCAGGCTGAGCTGAGCCAGGCTGAGTAGGAG